TATATATATATATATATATATATATATATATATATATATAATGTTTCACATACGATTATCATATACATGTATGTATGATATCATCACATTTGTTCTAGCGCCGTTGCTGGAAAAAAACATTTTTAGCAAGAGCCATATACTGTAGTGTTACCTAATCTTGAGACACGCGGGCTTAACTTCCTCATGCAAGTCCCGTGCAGCCTCGTAAGTTCGTAACGCTGTCTCAACCATCATTAATCTGTCTCCACTCGTCGTAATACTGTCGTATCTCTAGACGTAACCTAAGCGTAATTCAATCACAGCTGGATCGTAACTCTATTCTAATTCTGGCGCAACTCTATCGCATCGCCTATCGCTTCGTGAGTCAGCGGTAAATCATCTTGCCTGGCGCTATTCGAACTCTATCGCAAAATATAACTTATTGAAAATTCTAGCGCAAAACTTAACAATATTGTAAATTCTATCGCAAAACGTAACAATATTGCAAATTCTATCACAAAACGTAGTAATATTGAAAATATTATCGCAAAACGTAGCAATAATGTTTTGCGCTAGAATTTTCAATAAGTTAAAAAACAACAACAACAACAACAACAAACAATATTGTAAATTCTATCGCAACACGTAACGATATTGTATCGTCTCACCCAAGTAGTAAGAGAATTGTATTTCGATCGCAAGACCTAATGACATTTAAACTCTGGCGCAATAAGTGACAATATTAATGTTATAAGCTCTATCGCAATACATAACAACGTTAATATTAAAAACGCCATTGCGAGTCGTAACGACATTTTAACTCAATCGCAGGACGTGATCGTATCGCGAATCTATTGTATAACTCAGCGTAGAGCGAAATTAGCTCGAGCGAAATAGCAAAATGGCGGCGTTTAGAAATGTGACCCGAGCGGCGTGGCGTGCGGGCGATTTAATATCGCATCGTCTGCGTTATTACTGATGACGTCATGGATGCGGGCTGGCGCCTCATGCGTGTGTCCAGCTTTATCACTATCAGTCATGTTCACTTGCTGACGTATTGTACAGTCAACCGAGTATAGTCGGCAGTATCGAACCGAAGTTGCCTCGAATTTGCTCGATGGTTTATTGCGACGTTATCAAGCTGGTGGTTGATTGTAACGGAGCAAATAGTTGTCATATAGTACACAATGTTTTATAGAGAATCGATGGTCGTATAGAGATTGTGCAGAGCTTGTCTTGAGAGTTTTGATAGTGGATCGGGGGATAATCGAGTGCTGATATTTAAAGAAGCTGTTTCACGATGTCTCCAAAAAGTTCGCTTATGCTAAAATACGGATGCGATTAATATAAAATATATTATTAAAACTCCTGTTTTATGCCATGACGCTGTTCGCTTGTTCGTACTCCCACGGTATGCTCTCTTGTCGATCGAGCGATGCCGTCTAGTGGGAGTGAGCGCAAACGTATTTTCATCGCGGATCTTAGTTAATCGTGTTCTGTTTATAATTACAGCCGAGGGACACAAATGTTTGTACGGAGGCGGAAGCGGAAAAGGCGACGGTGGAGCTTGGGGAGGAGGGAGAGGAGGGGAGAAACGCGGAATGAATGATTTTGCGTGAAATAGATAGCCGACGACGGGATGTAGGGGCGAGGTGGATGCTGATTGGTCAGAAACGATAGTGCGCTGCGTGCACCCGCGGACAATGCTCGTCAGTCATGATGGAAATTGTTGATGAATTGTAACAGAGAGACAGAGAGAAGTGCCTGTCTGCGTACATGCATGCATGTGCGCGCGTACGTACGAGCGCGTGCCAACCTGTGTGTGTGCCTGCCTGCCTCCCTGCCCGCTCGTGCCTGCCTCCCTGTGTGCGCGCGTGCGTGCATGCCTTCCTGTGTGCGTGCCTGCCTTCCTGTGTGCGTGTGTGAGTGTGTGCTTACTGGCGACGAGGCACGCACGCACGCACGCACGCGGACAGGCTGTGACTCATTGCTGGCGGCGGGCTGTGGGAGAGGGAGGGGGTTGTTGGGGTAGGTGATTGACAGGGAGTGAGGCTGGCTGGCTGTGATTGATTCGTGATATATAGGTGTGGTGTGTCCCGGTTAAGGGTGTGAGGTAACACGCACGCGTAGCAGTGCGTGCGTTGTTGGGTGGGTGGGAGATTGGTGGATGGGTGGTGGTAAGGTGTGAGTCATTAATGACTAGGTGCCCATACACGGCTCCGTGTGTTGTACTCGCTGATCCCTCACACGCACGCAGGCACGCACGCACACGCGCGCACGCGCGCGTGCACACACAAATACAAACACAAACACACACACGCACATACAGTCAACCCTCTTTCTTTCTCTGTCTGTCTGTCTATCTGTCTCTCTCTCTCTCTCTCGCTCTCTCACTAAGGCACGAATCAGAAATACACCAGCAGAGGGCGCTCGCATCAGAACTGATGACGTCATCGAGCTCTGATGACGCGAAGTCGGCATTCGGTGCATGCAGGTGGCTAGGAGTCATTAATTGACAGATTGTAGCGTGATGCTATTACCCAGTGCGCGCCCACTCGTGAAGGACGACAGAGGTCATCGACAGAGGTCGATGAGGCCAGGAGGAGATGCATGGTCACTTTAGTTACTTTTTTTTAGTTCGTGTGGGGCTGATGCTGATTGTAACACTAACCGGGGGTCCGTTGGTCAAAAAACATCATAAATTTATGCTTGTCTATCATCATGAGGCTTGTCTAGTGAAGGACCGGGGCCACATCGCTCCATGCTCACGTTCAATGAATCGCATAGCGTTTAAAAATGTAATTTACCAGCTGTCTCCTTCACCCAGCGTGACCTCAGTGGTCACTAACAGCGATCAGTGTGGCAGGCTTCAGAGTAACTGAATATATGTGTATATTATATATATATATATA